AAAATGGTCCATGTGGTTTTTCATTTTATGTGGCTACGGTCCAAACGTTTGAAAAGTTGCAGATTTGGTCCTTTTCAACAAGTTTTGTTGTGGTTTTAGTCCCTCATCCGTTAACTTCCCTAAAATGACAATTTTAACCCCAGCGACCATTTTCGCAGTTTTGACTTTTACTATACTATAAGGACCATTTTTGCATACATTCTTTTTTATTTTAATGAAGTATTATATATTAAAAGATATTATTTTTAATATATAATATTATATATTAATAAATATTTTTTATTGGATTATTAATTTTTTTTAGTTGATTTTTTTTAAAAAAAATTGTTGGAGTAATTCTTTTTTATTGAATTATTATATATCAATACATATAGTTTTTAATATATAATATTTATATCATAATAAATATTATATTATTGGATTATCAAATTTTTAGTTAATTTTTGTAATTTTTAATTATTTTTTGTTGGATTATTACTTTTAATTTATTATTTTCTTCATATACTAAACGTTGTTTTATTGTATTATTAATTTATTTTAGTTAATTATATATTTTTTAATTTTTTTGTTGGAGTAATTTTTTTATTGAATTATTATATATCAGTACATATAGTTTTTAATATATAATATTTATATCATAATAAATATATATTATGCGATTATTATATATTACAAAACCTTTTTTATTGGATTATTAATTTCTTTTAGTTGATTCTTTTTATAATTTCTTTTTTGTTGGAGCAATTTATTTTATTAGATTATTATATATCAACAAATATTATTTTTAATATATAATATTTACATCATAATAAATAATACATTATTGGATTATTAATTTTTGTAATTTGTTTTTTTGAATTATTAATTTGTTGAAATATTGCTTTTAATTTATTATTTTTTTAATACAATAAATATTATCTTATTGGATTATTATTTTATTTTTAATGTATAATATTAATTGTTTTTAATTTTATCAGTTTCACCACAAAGTCGTCGAAATACGTAAAAGTGTCGTTTATCATCGTCAAAAATTGGCAGGATCACCTCCAAACACCTTCATTGGAGGTTCAATAGATACCCTACCCTATTCCACCTAGCGTTTATGGTAGCCACATGCGACAACCTCTTCATAATCCACTAGAATCCTTCATATCCCACATAATGCGCAACAAACCCCTATAACATTTATAAGTGGTGGTGGTGACCGAGTGATGGTGATGGTATTTTCCCTATGGTTTCTCATTATAAGCTAGATTAAATGAAAATGTTTGGCAGCGATCCTAACGATTTCGATGATGAGAGACGACGGTTTTGCGTATCCCATGACTTTGTGGTGGAACCAATAAATTAACAAGAACTATTATTATAATTAAAAATAAATTAATAATCCAATAAAATAATATTTAGTATATGAAGAAAATAATAAATTAAAAGTAATAATCCAATAAAAAATAGTTTAAAAAAAGAAATTACAAAAATTAACTAAAAGATAATAATAATCCAATAATATAATATTTATTATGATATAAATATTATATATTAAAAACTATATTTATTGATATATAATAATTCAATAAAAAATAATTACTTCGACAATTGTTTTTTTTTAAAAAAGAATTAACTAAAATAAATTAATAATCCAATAAAACAATATTTAGTATATGAAGAAAATAATCAATTGAATAATCCAATAAAAATAATTTAAAATAAAAAGAATTAAAAATATTAACTAAAAGAAATTAATAATCTAATAATATATTTATTATGATATAAATATTATATATTAAAAACTATATGTATTGATATATAATAACTCAATAAAAAGAATTACTCTAACAAAAAAAAATTAAAAATCAACTATAATAAATTAATAATCCAATAAAACAATATTTATTAATATATAATATTATATATTAAAAATAATATTTATTAATATATAATAGTTCAATAAAATAAAAAAGAATGTATGTAAAAATGGTCCTTATGGTATGGTAAAAGTCAAAACTGCGAAAATGGTCCCTGAGGGTAAAATTGTCATTTTAAAAAAGTTAACAGCCAACCAGTTAAACTTAACGGATGAGGGACCAAAACCACAATAAAACTTGTTGAAAAGGACCAAATCTGCAAATTTTCAAACATTTGGACCATAACCACATAAAATAAGAAACCACGGGGACCATTTTTTGCAATTTTGTCTTAAAAATGCCTAAAATATGTGCTCAGTGTGTTACACAAAAAATATTTTCACGTGATATACGTGCTGATATACATCAAATAGGTTCTCATCATATAAAAAATGCTAGACTAATCTAAATTCAATGTCTTCTCATTTGTTGACCCTCTTCCACCCTTACCATATATTTTGTGTACTAAGCTTTAGTTTTAATATCCTTTTAGACTTCTTCCTCTTCGTATGTGGAAATTTAACTCCAAGTATAAATTAGTGTTAAAAAGTAATAACTAATCACACAAATTTGCTTAATTAGACTTGCTACAATATTGGTTTTAAAAAATTTGGATATCTTCACCAACCATCTTCTTCCTCAATAGTTTCCGTTTCTTTAAAAACCACATGTTCTTCTTTGACTTATTGAATGGTATCAACGTCACATGTGTTATATAAAAAAAAAATGTAATGCATTTGTTAGTTAGTGATAAGAAGTGCCACCAAGAGTAACAACCAGTTTGAATGCACTTGTCCCGGTAACAAACTTTTGATTTTGTTCAAAAGTCTTAGCATTATGACCATTCTTCCAACTTTCACCCCTAACTTTGATCATTCTAAATAACCATTGTAATAGTAAAAGTTCAATTTCAAAATATAAAATGTTGCGGAATTTAGGTTCCGAAATCCCAAAATAAAGTTTAGTTAAGTCGGGGTAGTTACAATTAATACAAAACAAAACTCAAGTAAAGTGCATGTTATTCAAAATCTTCTAAATGTCATTGCTACCAAGCATCCATCAAAAGTTCATCTAATCGAAACATATATCAAAATGTAACTGTTAGTTTTGTAAAGATCAGTGAGTATGTTTGGGGTTGACTTTTCAAGGAAAATGAATTGTTGAGTTCAATCAATTCCAATGTCATACGCCAAAATAGTTTTCAAAGTGTAAATACGATTTTTAAATGAAGGCTCACAAGAACCAACAAAACACAAAATCATATATTCATATAAGAAACATTTTAACAAAACGAAAAATGCGATGCATATGCAATAACTACTTTCAACCCGTAGACAGTCTAAAAATCAAATATCTCAATGATAGCAAAAATCCGAGCTCGCTTATAACGTAATTTACTCAAGTATTTAATCTAAAGAGTAATATTTAAACTATGGTTATAAAACATATAAACTTATGTTCTTCATTATAAAATTTAGAGCATAAATGTCATAATTTTCAATAGGGAAGAATTTACGATTCCCTGTTGTGGACAGGAAGACGTTTTTATTCACTAGCAGATACAGAGATATGAATGTTAATTGAAAAAGTAAGGGTAAATAGCACAAAAAACACTCAGTTTATACCAAAATTCTAATTTGACACTGTGTTTTTTTTTGTCTTAAATTTGACATTGTGTTTTCCAATTTGTTACAATTCTGACCAATTGACCGGTCAACCAGGTTACATGATGACGTGTCAGTTTTGATGACGTGACATGCTGACATGTCAAAATTGAATTTTTTTCCACAAAAAACACTTAGTTTTCACTTTTTTCGATTTTGACACTAAGTTTAATTTTTTCTTTCAATTTTGACACTATGTTTTTTTGTTTCAAATCGAACATCATTTATCAAATTTTGTTCAATTTTGACGATTTTCCAATTGAAACCGTATATATATATATATATATATATATATATATATATATATATATATATATATATATATATATATATATATATATACACGGTTTCGAATAGAAAATTGTCTACATTGAACAAAATTGGAAAATATGATGTTCGATTTGGAACAAAAAAACATAGTGTTAAAATTGAAAGAAAAAAATTAAACTTAGTGTCAAAATCGAAAAAAAAGTGAAAACTTAATGTTTTTGTGGAAAAAAATTCAATTTTGACACGTCAGCATGCCACATCATCAAAAACTGACACATCATCATGTCACATCAGCATGTAACCTAGTTGACCGGTCAAGTGGTCAGAATTGTAGCAAACTGAAAAATACAGTATCAAATTTGCGACAAAAAAAAACAAAGTCTCAAATTAGAATTTTAGTGTAAAATTAGTGTTTTTTTTTTGCTATTTACCAAAAAAGTTATTCAAAGGATAGAGATGAAGATGAGAAATGAGAAATGGATAATTGGTGCTTCACGGCCCCATTGTCATCATTATTACACAAACCCTACAATGTTTATAATATAGTAATAATTACATTCTAAATAAAAATTATAATAACAAATAATATCAATAATAATAACCATAATATAAAGCGATATATTTAAAATAGAAAAATAAAAAATTGCTTTTCTAACTAAATAACAACAGATTTTAGTGTATAATGTTTTTCTATAATCATATCAATTACATTATATGTGATTGTTAAATCTATTAATTGAGATATATAAAAAATATATTGTTTTTTGCCTAACCTATCTGTATTTTTTACACATAAATATGACAGTTTTTCATAATTCAAAAAAAAGATATAATATTAGTGAAATGAAATTTATCTACCTGTGGCATTGAGTGAGAAAGAGAGTAACCAAAGCAACCCTTCTGGCTCTACAACTTTTCAAACAACCACATGAAAACCAACATTTAAATATTTTTCTAATTTACAGCACAAGATTCCCAGAGATAAAAAAATAAAAATTAAATTAAAAAAGCTTTTAAATTTCCTGTTGCCAATTTTTTAATTTGTTTTTTTTTCAATTTTTTGGGTGTGAGATCGACAGGCAGATCCCCACCAAAATAAATTATTAAATTCAATTTAAAAAATAAAGTATTAAATTCAACTTACATAAAACCCTCAAGAATTCACATTTATTTGTTTGATTGATGTAGTTTATAATTGTTTAACCTCTTCAGAAAAATCTACATCGATCAATGGAAGGACTTCAGGCTTCAATAGGAAACTCCGGCGACGACGGTGTGTTAGCTCAGTCACAGCAACAACCATCTAAACCTCTGGTAAATGGCGGTGGCGGTGGCGGTGGCGGTGGAACAGATGAACTGGGTGACGATGGTGGGGCAATTGGCGGTGGATTTACTGAAGATGGCGACCGGAATTCCGGTGGTAACCGGTGGCCGAAGCAAGAAACATTGGCTCTGATTAATATCCGGTCAGAAATGGACGCAGCTTTTCGTGATTCAAATCTCAAAGGCCCATTATGGGATGATGTTTCCAGGTGATTTAAACTTGAATTCAATAACAAAAATCCCGAGTTTTCCTATTTCAAATTCCAGCTAATTTTCCGGCGAGATCTATGAATCAAATTTCAATGAATTGACCAAAGAAGGTCAACCTTTTATGAAAGAGTCGATGGGAATCCAAAAAATTTCAGAATTCCTGCAAGAATTTTGATGAGAATTATTCATCTCATGTGAAAACGTTAATCCCAAATCAAAATTTGTCGAAATCTGCTTCAATCTGTCATATTACTTCTTCAAACTAAGTATGGATCCAAACACTCACCGACGAAATATAATTTTTCTATTTATTTTTCGAATATTTTTGTTCTTGTTTTACTTAATTTAACGTTAATTTTCACGTTCATTTTGTTAATAAATTTGCAAAAAAATGTATGATGTCAGAAAACTATCAGAGCTCGGATTCCATCGGAGCGCCAAGAAATGCAGAGAGAAATTTGAGAACGTATACAAGTATCACCGGCGAACTAAAGAAGGCCGGACTTCGAAACCCGACAAAATCTATCGTTTTTCCGATCAATTACAAGCTCTGGAACAGAACCCAAGAAGTGCATTTCCGCCACAACCTTTTCCCGCCGTGAAACCACCGCCAGTCATGGTAAATATGTCGAACAATGTTACTGTTCCATCCCCTTTTATTACTGTAACGGGCTCCGATCAGAACAATGCGAGTCCGATTTCAGTTGCAGCCCCAGCGGCGGCGATGGCAGTGATGCCACCACAGCCGGTGATGAATCACAAAAGGACTTTCCCGTTCTCGCAAGCGAACATGTCGGGATCCACAAATTCAGCCACTTCGTCGGATACTTTTTCCGACGACGAACCACCCCAGAAAAAGAGAAAATGGCAGGATTTCTTCGGGAAATTGATGAAGGAAGTAATAGAGAAACAAGAGGAACTACAAAGGAGGTTTCTTGACACAATCGAGAGACGGGAGAGAGATCGAGTGGCGAGGGAGGAGACATGGCGAGCTCAAGAAATTGCGAAGATGAACCAAGAACACGATCGGTTAGTCAAGGAGAGATCCATCGCCGCTGCAAAAGACGCCGCCGTCATAACATTTTTGCAGAAGATGACCGGGAAAAACCCTGACACGGTGGACGAAACCAGAAAAAGGCTAGCAGGTATTGTCGTACATACTCTATAGTTATCATAACTGTTCAAAAGTTATTTTAGCATGAAATCATGGATTAATTAGTTGATTTTATAAATTTCACGGTTGTTTTGTAGATTTTTTAGCTCCGCCGATGCCATTAGCCTCAACCCTCCCGGTCATACAGCAACAACAGATCCACCAAACACCACCACCGCCTCCGCCTCCACGTCATGAAATTCTGCAGGTGGCGGTGCCGCCGTCACCCATAGTGAAGAATCTTGATGGTGATGTGAGTGGAGGAGATAATATGCTATTGCCAAGTCCATCACGGTGGCCGAAAGCGGAGATAAACGCGTTGATAACACTTCGAACGCAACTCGACATGAATTACCAAGAAAACACGGCAAAGGGTCCGTTGTGGGAGGAGATATCGGCGGCGATGAGGAAGCTCGGGTACAACCGGAATGCCAAACGGTGCAAAGAGAAATGGGAGAACATCAACAAATACTACAAGAAAATGAAGGATGGTAACAAGAAGAGGCCGGAGGATTCGAAAACATGCCCGTATTTCCATCAGCTCGATGCAATTTACAGGGAGAAAGCGACTGCGATCGTAGCACGACCAGAGCAGCAATGGCCGCCTGCGACGATGGTGCAAGAAAAAACACCGCCGCCGCCGCCGCAGCAGCAGCAGCAGCAGCAGTCTACTAATGGTGTTTACGTGGAGAAAAGGGATGATTATCCGGGTTTCACTGGAAAACCCGAAACCCAAACCGCTCCGGTTGTAGCTTGGCCACAACAACAATGGCGGGTTCCGGCGGCGCTTCAAGAAACACAACAGCAACCACAACCACAGTCTGCGGCGGACATGGAGGATCAAGGTAGTGAGAATACTGATGATTACGACGATGATGATGAGGATGAAGACAAGGAAGAAGAAGGTGGTGGGTACGAGATTGTTGCCAGCAAGATATCTTCAGTGGCTACTGTCTAGAGAGAGAAAAAACGAGGAGAGAGAGAAAGTTGTCATCTTTTTCATTGGAAGGTAGAGCAATGAAAGAAATTAATGGGGTGATGGATATGCGGGTCATGGATAAACAGGTCGGGTTGTAATTTGGCTGGTGAAAATTTGAATGAAGCACACATGGGGTCCGGTGATGTCTTGGGAAGAGGGCAACCGTATTTTTTTATAGCTAAAATACATAAAGATGTTTTCTGTATTTTTACATTTTTTAATTGTATAATACGAATAAAAGTATTTATCAATTATGTTATTCTTTATTTGAATCTTAATTATATTATATTTGTTTACAGTTATTAAGATTATGTAACATCAAAATATCCATAATTGTTGAAATATTAACCCTTTTCGTCAATTAGTTATTTTTTTTTTTATGTTTGTTTCAAAATTGATAATATATGATTGGGCTTATGGTTAAAGGTGATGGGAATAGAAGCCTAAGAACCCTCCTTCTCAATCCTCCAATATGGTCGGTCCAAGCACGGGGGGATTTGTAACAAAACGTTAAGGAAGCAGGCATACATGGTTTTAAGGGTATTAATCCCGAAAAATTGCACTATTTCGGAATATTTTAAACATTTTACACTATGTCAGAAAAAATTTAGGGGTAGCACGTGCTAACCTTGCAACCATCTGCCCTTCATCCCAAGAAGGTGATGAGAATGGTGATCCTTCTAAAGTCATCACCCTCCCAATAGTCTTTCTACTTTCTCTCTTTGCATCCAACTTAATTAGATTGTAGAACACACACCAAACGTTTTTTTTGGGTACCGGAAAAATAAGGATGGTTTTCATGTCGATACTGAAGTGTCACCTCAACTGGTTACGAAGTCCAAGTGTCCAACCCGTTTTCACTCCCAACATTCTAAGAGAAAACTATAGATACTTTACTTATGATACGTTTTATTTTATAAAATAATATATGGCATGGTTTTTAATTTTGTGTTTCCTTCTTCAATAATATAAATAAAACTATAATTAGTAAATAATAGTATGTCGACGGAAACCTCATCTTCCATGTTCTCCACTAAAGCATCTTTACTTAAGACTTTTTATGATTTATTACTAGGGTGATTCTAAATATAATTCCATATAGTCGATTTTTATATCCTTATTTATATAAATATAACATTTTATACATGTAATGTGAGCTATAATACGATATGAAATATGATTATGCAAATTAAAGATAAAACCTATAATTTTTTTTATAAAAACCATTAGGGAAAATGGTTATAATCGGACCATATAGCTATGTATAACCCTTAAAATAGTATTTGAGTAACTTTTTTGTTATTATCTATTGACCGTTTAATATTAAAACATTGATTTATTTGTTATAATATTGCATGTAATATCTTTAATTGTATTTTATATTTATATCTTTGTTCTTTTTTGATTGATTAGTCTAATATACTAAGTATATAATATAAAAATTAATATTTGTATAGAAAATTTTATTTTAGAGGTATTCTTTTAAGTCGATGAAAATGACATAAATTTTAAATATTAAACTATATCGATCATTATATTACTTTTAAGTTTTTCATATTTATAACTACATGAAAAAAATGATAATTTATAAAACATTTTTAGGACATTATACATGTTTAATTATTAGGAAAAAAAAACTATTCAGAAAACTAATGCAATAGAGAAAATTTTCAAAGATAACTTTTTTATCGATGTGGCAAAATAAATAAGTTTTGAAGATGTTAACCATTGTGTATACTAGGATGTTATTCGGGTCGGAACCAGACCGAAATGACCCGAATCCGAATAACCTGAAAACCGAATAAGGGTAATTATATGAACCGATTAATCAATACGAGTTCGGTTCGGTTCGGGTATTAATCAGTTCGGTTCAGTTAATACCCGGATAACCCGAATAACATGTACAAGATGATCAAGGATCTAATATAACCAGAAAAAAACGAATAAACCGTATTAGGATTTTATAACCTGAATAATAGAATAACAATGTACTTTTACACATCAACGTAAAACATTCAAAGACCAACATAACACAATAACACATTGCAAGAATAACATTTACATAATAGATTAACATAATGAGAATTAATTTCTTACTTGAGTTTCTTGAGTTAGAGCCTAATTTTCCATGAATAAACAAAGTAGGAATTCATGAATCCTTAGAGACAATAGGAAGAGTCAATTTTTGACAATCTGAAACAAGAGGAAGGTTCGACATAAATGATTTCGAGTTTGGAAATAGTTGAGAAGATTGGTTGATTTTGAAACGACGAGAACGAGTGTAGGTTTTTTTTTTCCAATTATGAACGACGAGGACAGAAGTGTGAATCGTGATTTTGATTTCTGCCGATAAGAGAAAGGGGACGATGAATGCTTATTCGGGTCGGATATTAGAACAAAATAAGCTCTTGTTTGGGTAACCCAAATCGAATAACCCGATAACCGAATAAGCATAATACAGATAACTAAAACCCGAATCAAATTGCTTATTCTGGCCTAATTTGGTTCGGTTCGGTTCGGGTTTCCGAGCCAAATTCCCATCCCTAGTGTATACCCTTAAATTTATCTTCCTCACTCTTTGTCTAAAACCCTTGTCCAACCCTTTTGAGAAGGGGTTTCCTTTTAAAGAGAGACCATATAGAAAAAAAGGATCTGAGAAGGAATTCGGTCGATGGTTGTGTGGTCGCGAGAGACATGAACAAAGTTATATTCATTATATTCTTGGTAAACCAAATCAAAATGATATATGCCCTTTGAAGATCGTTATTACTACCCTGCCTCTATATCTTCTTTGTGTCATTTGTCGATAAACCCAACCAATATTAACGTCCTATTTGTCTTTCTTGAACTCCACATCATGTTGCATTTTCTTTTATTGTGATAGCATCCAAACCCCATTTTCCTTTTCTCATCAATCTATGTCATTAGACTTGTTGGCTAAGTTGGTTTAAATGGGACCAGCTTATGGTAGATGATGTTACAACTTGATTTATTTAAAAAGTTCAAAACACCAAATTGATTTAATAAAATGATTTTTTGATTAGTTAGGTTAGATACGATTGAGATCAATCTATGTTTTTGTTCGAAGACATATATTTTTTGTTTAGTGGCAAATATATACATGTTTGGAAATGTTGTGAATTGCATGGGGTTGGAAGTAAGGTGTTGTAATAGGTATATATGACAAGTGTAAGAGGGGGGGGGGGAGGAATTGCACTTGTGGGGTGTTTGGTTGGTTGTGGCATATGATATCGACAGTGATATAAAATGGGGATAAAACTAACAAAAATGATGCATACAAATACATCTAACATTTGGACTCTCGTTGAATTCTGTAACATTTCTCACCAGAAATCTTAGCAATTGCCAATTGACATAATAGAAATCGAATGGGAATACGAGATTCTCACCTAAAAAAACGCAAAACGGGATCCTAGTAGTGGACTATCGTTGGATTCACTAAGAGAAACATACAAGAGAGACTTTATAGAGTGAGACAGATGAGAGATAGCTTGTTTCACTTCCATAATGGTATACTTTATTTTTGGTTATTTTTTTATTGATTAATGAATTACTTTATTACATCAAAATCTTGATCAACGGACGAGAATATGTTATACATTCACACAATAATTTGTTGGTAGATAAATTGTGACAACCGTCAAATTCAAGTCAAAGTCAAGGTCAACAAGTCAAAATCAACAAAGTCAAGTCAAAGTCAAAGTCAACAAGTCAAACCGGTTAAACCTAACTAATACTTGTATGTGAAAAATTATTCTATAAAAATGTGTATTGGTATGCCAAGAATTCAAGTGTTTTGGATATTTTACGTGTTTAGCAATGTAAAACCCTAAAAAGGGAGATAAACGCTTCAAAACACGACTAAGGACCCTTTCGGGGACTTAAAACAATCATAAACGACGCATAACGAGGTTCACGAACCTTGCATTATAAGATTATACAATAATAATGGCTAAAAACAAATCTCTCCCAAATCTCTCTCAAAATCTCTCTCAACTTTTTATAGTCATCCGGGTCATCCCGACCCTTAAATTGGCCAAAAACCACTTGAATCGGGAAGTTATATCGAAAAACAGCTAAATAGGGTTGAAACCCCTCTTAGGAACCGAACCTCTTAGAACCGAAACCCTCCTATTAGGACCGAAGGTCCCTCAGGACCGAACTGCCAAGACCGAATCGAAGCTGTCAGAACCGAACTAGGCACCTCGGACCGAAACCTCCATGCAACCGAAATAGACCGAGCCCTCAGTCTATTTCGCTCCTCTCGCCCCTTCGGACCGAGACCCACCTTCGGTCCCTTCTCCCTTCTCTCGGTTCCTTCTCCTACCTTCGGTCCTCAACACCTCCAAGAGCCGAACCTCGCAGGTTCGCTCCGTAAGCCCGGTTTTCGACTACTTTCGCTTCCTAAGCCTGTTTTTGACGTTTTTGACGGGGATTTTTCACCAAATTCATATTTTTACCATTTTAAACTCCTTAAACTCATATTTTATTCATTTCTCAATGATTTATTAATTATAAATCAATATTTTACATTAAGAGAAATATCTAAGGATGTTTACACCACAAGTGGGTCAAGTGTGCCCACTTGCCCTCCATGTGTCATCTTCTCATTTGTCCAACCCTATCCACATCACACAAACCAAGGCAAACATCCTATCAATCTTGCAAATTGCTCCAGCAACATCTATATAAAGAAACCCTTGGAGTAACTTCTTAAAATCCTTGATCATTTCCTTCACTCACACACTTCTCTTACCCCTCAAGAAAGCTTCTTTTCTCTCTACTTCCAGCCACTTTTTGGAGGTGTTCTTGAGCTATTACTTCACTTTTTGGTAATTATTTCATCTAAACTCAAGTGTTATTCCATATTTTCATAACACTCTTGGATCATCTACACACATTTTAACACCAAAAATCGTTCTTAGGATCATCCAAGCTTTCACGTGTTCATCAAGTGTTCTTGACTTGATACTCCTTGTCTTCAACCTTCAAATCTTCAAGAAATAACTCAAGGTGAGTTCATACCCCTACATTTTCTAGTTTTCTTCAGTTTTCAGGGGGGATACAAGTTAAAACACCAAACTTATTTAAAACTCAACTTGACAGCTTACAACAGAAAATTTGTGACCTGTTCACGAACTGTTTTACCCAACTTAAACTCAATATGTTTCAAAA